AGTTACTTTTCTCAACAACTGAAATTTAGAATAGTGTGATTAAGAAAAATATGTGAACTGTTTGCAATTTCAAATTAATATTGAAATGTACAGGTTTAGAATTTTCTACAGTGAAAAGTTTTCGGAACTTCAGTATTCAAAAAAGTATACAAAAGCTAGACGTTAAGAACGTATCCAAAGAGCGAGCGAAGCGAGCATTGGATTGCCAAGCAATCCGAAATGAACTGCAAAAGCAGTTCCGGGGGTTGGTGAGCGTTAGCGAGCAGGGGGCTAAGCCTCCTAGTAATTTATATTTTCCATGGCAAATACGCTTCGAAAAAAGCTTTTAAAAAGTTTTATAGTAATCTAAGCTAAGAAAACAGCAAAACAGTTAGTTGAACATTGTAAAAAAAATTAGTGAACCATCATTTTTGGTGTTGAGGTGAACAAAACTATTTTGCAGGGCATAACTCTCACCTTTTTATTTACTTTTTCATTGTTATAGTTTTACTTATTTATTTATTCCAAACAATCATTATTACGCAATGCAGCTCCATAATAATAATGTAATTCCTATAATAATAATGTATATTTTCCATGGCTAATGCACTTCGAAAAAGCTTTTAAAAAGTTGTATAGTGGTAATGTAAGCTAAGAAAACAGCAAAAAATTAGCTGAACATTGTAAAAAAATTTTGTGAACCACCATTTTTGGTGTTGTAGTAAACAAAACTATTTTACAGGGCATAACTCTCACCTTTTTATTTACTTTTTCATTGTTATAGTTTTACTTATTTATTTATTCGTTTTTTGCTTGTGTGTTTTTCACCGGTACATGTTTCTGAACAAAAATTTCAGTGCATCGCAATTTTTACTGTAATAATTACCGAATAATCACTGAACCAATCTAATTAATTAAAGATAAAAACGTACAATATTTTACTATAAAATTCGAGTTTTCGTTGAAATGGATTCCACGGATGATACACCCAAAGTGTCAGTACTTTATACTTTAATTTGATACGGATATTTTTTACAATGAACTTCAAAATGTATGTAGTTTACCTCAACGCCAAAAATGTGAGCTTATACTAATTTTTACATTGAACATGTTTGTCACAAATTGTTTTAAATCAATTAGTAAGCCACGAAAGTAATCTCAAAATTTTTGTACACAAGCTAATAAAATAAACTGGAGAAATACAAAGATGTTGCCCAATATTGAAAAATACATTTATCTTAATTAAGAAAAATAATGTGTCTAAACTTGTTTGCTTATTATTATTCACATTCGTTTCTATGTTTTCAGCAAACAATGGCACAGTGGCACAAAATGTTTTTGATAACAGTTGTTGTTGTAACTTTGAATGGTGTGGTGTTTCTTCTTTGGGGTTCAACGAAGATCCAGTCTTATGATCCAGCTTACCAGAAAGAAAAAGCTTCCAAACATGAAATGAATGAAGCAGAAATTACTTCTACGCTTTTATGACAACATCGAAAGATTTAAAGAACACTCATTTGGTCAAAAAACATTTTAAAATAATTATAAAGAGATTTCTAAAACAATTTAATTGAACAGAAGTATCACAACTTGTATCTTTGTAATATTTTTTTAACATTAAATGCAATAAACTACGTTTGCTTTTTCCAATAACTTCTTCTTCTATTCACTGAAAAAAATAAAAAAAATTTGTATTAAAACACTGTGGGCCAGAAGACCATGATCTTTGGCCAAAAGTCAAAAATTAAATTTTCAACTAAAATATGTGTAGGCAGTTTTAATATAGCCCAAATTAAGTATTTACAATCATTCCAAACATTATAATTTACTTTTTGGACCGACAAGAGTACAATGTAATGAAAAATAAGTTAAAAAAAATTTAAAAATTTAATTTTTAAATTTTTTTTTCAGAAATATATGTAGGAATTTCACCTTACTGTTACATTTTTATCAGAGTTATTAGTCTGAAATTATAGTTCAATTTTTCAATTTGTTGGATTAGTTAATACTCTTGACAAACTTATAGTTTATATCTTGTCATTTGACATTTTGCAATGTTTGAATGACTTTCGAAACTTAGTTCTAAGAAGTTCCACGAGGTAATTAGCTAAACTTTTTTTTGTTGTCTTCTTTGATGTTTCTTCTTTCGAAAAATATACCGAATATACCGAAAAACAAAAATTATGTCTTTTTTTCATGTTTTCGAGCTAATTTGTAAGTAATTCGCGTTATTTTGTAATATTACTTCTGAAATATAATTTGCTTTTCATTTTTAATATAAAGTTACAAAAATTATTCTACATTCATTACTATATTTAATTATTTAAACGTACTATATTATTTTTTATTTATTTTTGCTCTCTATTTCAGCCGCTATTTTGTTTCTTGGGTATTTTTAGTGTATTTCAAAATTTCAACTATGAATTCAATTTACCTGCACATAAAAACACCTAAATAGAAACCCCCCAAATTTTGAAACAAATTTTATCGAAATACTAATTTTGGCCACGAAACCTTGGTTGCTGGCCCACTGTGGAATGTAGAGAAAAACACACAAGAATGACACAATCAATAGAATATAAATTTAAAACATTCTGTTGATTCCATGATATTTCTCATAATGGGTTGATACCAGTGGTCGGAAGTAGCGCACTAAAAGTAGTGAAACTACTGTAGTCGGTACTGTTTTTCGTAGTTTGTAATGCAATGTGCTACTTTTTTTTTTTAAAAAAAAAGTAGTATGGTGAGTAATGCGATGCAAAAAAAAAGTAGCTTGTAGCGATTCCTTGCATTTACTTTTATCGCCAGTTTAGAAAAAAAACACGCTTCTACCCAAGTCAAGTTTCTTGATGGTTCCTTCAAAATATTTTGATGGTTTATGTTGGTTTCAGTACGACTTTTGATGGTTCAACATCATTTGATGGTCCCCATCATCCACCATTTTCCATTACGTGTTCATGGATTTTGATATGCCAAAAAACTTTCAGCAATCCATGAGGGAAAATGCTACGTTAACCGCTTAACGATCAGTTAATTATCTAGAAAACGGTCATAAAAGTGGCTATTTTTTTTCTGGCATCCAAACATCTTGTGCTGACATCTAGTTTAAAATAAACTAACTATCTACAATTACCTTAGAAATATTCTGGTACTGCCATCTGGTGGGTAAAATGAGAAATAAAATGTTTTCCGGGCAAAAGAAATTAATTAGTTTTATTCTTATTGCCAGTTACTACTGAACCCTCCAGTCCGGAAATATGACGGGAGCGAGAAATAGAGGGCGAAACCTCACCCCGTCATTTTCACGGGAGCGAGAAGGAAGGGGTTAATACCGTGACAGTTAACCGTCAAGAGAAGTTTAACTCTCATGGACCAACAATCCATGATGGTCCGTGATAGTTTCAAATATACATTTCCATGATGGCTTAATGGAAATTCTTGCTGGTTCTCAGGAATATACCATCAAAACAACTTTTTTTTAGACCATCATAAATCAGTTGGAATTCCTACATTAAGATGATGGTTGTTCATGATAGTTCCAGCATTTGATTTCTAAGATACTATGATGGACATTTGTGATGGCTTACAAGATGAACAAACCATCAAAACAAGTTGTTATTCTTATGTTGGATCATCCTAAATCAGTCCGAATTCTTGCATCGAGGTGATGATTACTTATGCTGGCTACCATCAAAAAATGTAATGGCTTATGATGGAATCATTGATGGCTACCATCAAGATAAAGTTGGTTCATCAATGGAAAACCACCAACGAAACGCAACTGATTTTTCGAATTGGATTGGTACAAATATTCGTGGGTCCGTGAATGGATGCAGTAAAAATGACTCTGTAGTTGCAACTGAGCGTTAACAGAAATTACTTATTTAAAATCACGTATAACTAATATTTGAACTATCCTTTACGAAAAATAGTTAATTAACCACCTTGGTTATACTTTCACATGCGAATGCACCCTCGTGAAACATTTCTATAATTTCAATGGAAGGGAACGCATTTTCGATGTACTTTCTTAGAGGAAATAAAAGAGCATTAAGCAAATAAAATTTTTTTAAGTGTTTGATAATTTCGCACTTATCAAATTAAAATATTCGCAGTCGAAAGTTGAAAGTTAAACGAACAAATTCAAAAAAATTTTTTATTTTGAATAACTAACAGACTCATGCAAACATGAAAAAATATTTTTTAATAATTCCCTTACATTTAATGCAAGTAAGTTTTTTTATTCAAGGCCCTTTTGAAAATAGGTGTAAATTAAGTTCTCTAGCAAATCTCGTTTCCATAAAGTAGTGAAGTAGTTACTACAATTTCAAAGCAGTTTGTACTACATTTATTAAAATGTAGTTGCAGTTAACTACATTTTTAACAAAGTAGCTGTAGCAAACTACAAAAAACACATTATTTTTGTAGTTTACACATTATTTTGTAGTTTTGTACCCCCCCACCCCCACTTGTTGGCACTTACTTAAACACCGAAACAGATGAATACGTTTTTTAACTGTGCTTCCCACTGTATTTTTCTCTCTTAATGTCCACTGTAAAGTTTGAACTTATAAGATTTGATTAGCTTTCCTAAAAATGAAATCAATTTATTGGCATGTAGGCCAGGGTACTTTCTAAACTAGTAAATTGTGCAATGCAAAGGAAAAAACAGAAAACAGAAAATAGAGAGATTCGGAATAGATAAATTTTAGAAAAATGAACTAGTTTATGCTTGTTAAAATTAAGAGATGTAGTAAGAACTGAACTTAATTTTACTTTTAGTAAAAAAAATCTATAAAAGTATCTGCAATACAAAATCATTGTACCGAAAACAAAAAAGTATTGCAGAATGATTTATTTCGTGAGGAAATGTTTAAAATAAAAACTCGGTAAAGAATTATTATCCAGTCAACGCAATCCGTCTGCAATAAATTTGACCTGTTAGGAATTTTCGCACGCAGTTATGGTTACGCACTGTTAGGTATTATATATTCTGAGGATGAAAATATGAGGAAACAGGTATTGTGATAATGAAAGCATGACAAGTTTTTTTTTTTTTTTTTTTTTTGACTCTAGGGAAGTTTATGGAAGAGGAATTTGATTACGAATCAGTGTCGAGACAAGAAAAAAAAGTGCAGTCTGTCAGCATAATAAAAGTTAACTAAAATTTCAATTAGAGAGAAATTTTTACTGTAGTGTAAGTGCTTAAGACTTACTATTAAATACTATACTATACTATATTAAATACTATATTGCACTATACTATACTATACTATACTATACTATACTATACTATACTAAATACTATACTGTGCTATATTATATACTAAATACTATACTATGCTATACTATGCTAAATACTATACTATACTAAATACTATACTGTGCTATATACTATACTAAATACTATACTATGCTATACTATTCTAAATACTATACTATACTATACTATATACTATACTATACTATACTAAATACTATACTAAATACTATACTATACTATACTATACTATAATACTGTACTATACTATACTAAATACTACACTGTACTATACTATACTATACTATACTATACTATACTATACTATACTATACTACGGTGTGGTATTTTTCCTTAAATAGAAATGCTCAAATTTTTAGGTTTAATCATTAAATAGAGATAGTTTAGTCATTCATTTGGTAAAGAAGCTTTTAACTTATCACTTATTTACGCTTTTATATGTACGAGTATAATAAGGACTTTAATTTTCCAATAATTCTATTAGATTGAAGAACACGTTTTGAAGATATGTGCAATGAATCCAACAGGATAGTATGTAGCAAGGGAACACAGAACAAAAAATTTTAGCCATTATTCCCTTTCTAAGCTTTTTTTAAAAATAAATATCTATAAGCAACTGAAAAGAAAACTATTAACATAAAAAGAAATAAATGAGGAGAAAAAAAAAAAAAAGGAAGTATAATAATAAGTGCTAATTCAAAGGGAAAAATTTATAACTATAATCGGGATATCTAAAGTACCGGAAATGATTATAAAAGAGAAATATAATATGTACTTATTTTCGAGAATTATATTCTTTTCGTGCAACGCGATGGTGTAATGGTTAAGGTACTATACTATCATTTTATTTTATTTTATATTTTATAATCGTCGTTCAACAGTCGACCCAATTTTCAGGCTTATGACTACTAATGTTCAACTCCGTAGCCTTGTAATTTTGAACCCAAATCAGAAGCCAAGGGAACTCCTGGATCAAGTATTGAGAGAAATTTGGCTTCGTGGAGGAGGATTCGTTTGGCATTTTTGATGGAACTAACCTGCATTTGCGTTACATGGAGAGGAAAACCACGAAAGCCTCCCACGGTTAGCCTGAAGGCAAAAAGGTCTCCGACCCATGATCCGTCTACCATTGTGGATATTTCACGTCATCAGTGTTGTCGGTGCAAGCCGCATACGGATTCGTCGACCGACCATCGGTGGGATTCGAACCCGGTTCACCTCACTGGAAGGTGAAAGCTCTGTGCCCTGAGCCATCACGGTTCACAGAACTATTATTGTGAAGAACAAGAGTTCAATTCACAGTAGAGCATTAAATCCCTCCAAAATTCTGATAAAAGGAGTTCCCTTGTCTTCCGGATTGCGCTCCAAATTACAAGGTTGCGGAGTTGAACATTGGTTGTACTAAGCTCAAAATTGCTTCGGCTGTTTGACGTCGGTTATAAAATAAAAACAAAATGTGTAGCAGAGTATCTGGAAACAAAAGCGTTCGATGTGCAATGATAATTGCGTTGATACCATCACATTTTTGGTCATGAAATTGCGGAGCCGTAACCTCCATGATTTCCCCTGGTTCACAACGAGATGTACCACGATCGCTTCACTTTTGAACTTAATAAAGCATGGCACTTTTTTATTTGAGCTATGTTGGATATAGCTATCAGCTGGGTATTGGATTTAATAAAAAATTATTGCCATTTAAGTAATCTTCATCTAATTTTTCAACACAAACTTACAAATAAAATTCGTTTGATTAATTCGGCGATTTTTTTGTTTTATTTAATGCTAGACCTTTTTTGCAACCCACTGCTGTGTCTTTGAAAATTTTAAATACTCAAACGCATGTTTTACAAATTGTCTAATAGAGTGTGAAATTTAAAGCGATAAAAATATGTATTACTGAAAATATGTATTGCGATTAAGAAAAAATAAACAATGAATAATATGATTTTTTTCAGTGTTTCACACTTTAATAATTAAAAATTTAATTCATAGTTTAATGGCCCTTTTAAAATACTGAAAAATAACCTCGCATTACTAGCGTATTGTGTTTAAATCAATTTGTTCACTTATTTGCAAACAATTCTTTATTGGTAATTAAAATAGACTTTAACATGTCAGCTAATTTTTTTTAAATTTTTTTATTTTGCCTGAATGAAAAGATATGCCAAATTTTGTAAAACTTAAGTCTACGTCTAAAAAATTTTTAAATGTTAAATTAATTATATTAAATTTAAACATTTAAATATTACTTTAGCTCCTTTAAAAAAAATCAATAAATAAAGTTTTCGGTTTCAATGCTGTTTCCATAACAGTGCCCAATTCAGAACAACAAGTGCATTATATAAGTATCACTTGCAAAATAAGATATCTTGCAAAATAAGGCTAAATAATGCAGTATACCGAGAGAAAAAAAACATGCTAAAATTTCAGTTCAATCTCTGCAGGCATTAAGAATTTATTAAATAAAGCTTTGCCTGAGACAATGATTTTTCAAAAATGCCTTTTCATTTTTACGATGGAGATCAATTTTAGAATGAAAAATGCTGCAGAGCGAGATGAGAAACATAATTACTGTGAAGCAAGACTATCATATCCAAACTATTTCAACCAGTTATATTAAAAGTCAGAAACATCAAATTTTCATTTTTTAATTTTTTTTTATATTTTATTTTTTTCATTTTTAAATTTTTCACATGGAATATTTAAAACTTTCTTTTTGTACAAGGTACAACATGTTACCTCAGTTCTTCGAAATCTTATTCTAGTTCTTGATCAGTAAGGATATTTCCAATCACGAAATATTTTCCTACTGCTGAAAAAACGGCTGTATAGAAATCTTTATACCCATTTTAGATTTGTTGACCTTGAGACAACCAGACCGACATACTTTCCATTGTATATAGGTTATTATGTGTCATAAAGTAAGAAGCGATTTTCTTATTCAATTAATTGAACGGGAATAAAAATGCACGTAATGTCCATACTTGTCGTGATTTGTTAGAACAACTGGCGTTATTTGATCATGTGATATGATTCCTTGAAACTTTAACCACAAAACATTTTGTCAGAAATATTTTTATTTACTTTAACTTTTATACCATTCTAAGTTTTATAAATGGATTTAGGTAAATTTTTTATTTATTTATTTTTTGGATGGTGCAAAATTTCCATCTCGAATCAAAAAATTTCAAATCTGGGATCGCAACATTTAATATTAATGTAAAAAATATTTTTGAAAAAAAAAATATGCTTAAAATTAATTCGAAACAAAACTAGAACTGAATCTAATGAATGACACATGAGGTACTTGAGAGAACTAGAGTGCTCCAGTGGGTTCCTGCCCACTGTGGAGTTCCGGGCAACGAGAAAGCCGACTTCCTCTCTAAACTAGAACTGAATCTAATGAATGACACATGAGATACTTGAGAAAGCTAGAGCACTCCAGTGGGTTCTTACCCACTGTGGTGTAGCAGGCAACGAGAAAGCCGATTTTCTCGTTAAAAATGGTGCCCTTCTATACTATTAAACCTTATTAAAATATCTATTAAATCACGTGCTCAAGAAAACCTCTATAACCGTGTTTCCCAAAAGTTCTGGAAGAATGCCATCACAGAACTGTGTAATTTAAATTTTCAAGGCGTAGAGCAGTCGCTGAATTCCACGTAGCCACCGGACATGACTGCCTAAGAAACCTTCTTTGTAGACTTAAAATTGTTCCCTCCTTGATATGCACTCTGTGCAGCTCTGGAGAGGTCATGGACTACGCATATTTACTCCACTGTCCTGCTCTGGATAACACTTTTCTCGCCGAGCGTTATTGGAAGGCTAGACCTATGTTTGATTAATGAACTCTGTTTCAGCATTTTTTGTTGTACTCTGTGTTCTTTCTTACTGGCTTTCTGCTCATTAAAAATAAATAAATAAAAAAACTTATGAGATTAGCATCATATATTTACCATCGAATCTAAAAAAAAAAATTATAATAAATAAATAAATAAATAAATAAATAAATAAATAAATAAATAAATAAATAAAAAACCTTTAGAAAGACTTGTTTTGATCTATTTTTCCAAGTTTTCGTCTTCACGCTTTTGTTTTTCACCTTTAATTTCTTATTTTCCGCGTGGGAGGATGGATTGTGATGATTCCCTTGAATAAAAAGAAGATCTATGTTCAATTATTTTTACTCGGAAATCATGAGTTTCCTTACAAACGATAAAAAATATTATTTTCCTAAATAGAGCAGTACTAGTGGCGCTGTTGTGTAAAGCAAATGAAACACATTTTTGAAGTTTCAGTCACGTTTTGTCACTTATTTTACACACTCAGTTACAAATATTTGTCTAACTTTATTTCATTGGTAGGAGAAATTATTTTTTTATCACTTTCTTCCTTCAATGTAATGAAATTTTTATTGATTTTTTTGTTAGACAGACTATCTTTTTCCTTTATTTGATGAGTTTGCATAGATTCAAAAGTTAATGATTTTTGTTTAAAAAACGAGGCCAAAAATAAAAACACAACGAAGCAGAAATGGATACAATCCCGGAGACCGAACCAAGTGAGTAGTATTTGTATTTGTTTCACATTGACGTCATTTAACACTATTGAGCAAATCAATATTAATTATTTATTGTTCAATAATGAATAACAATAAGTTTTTCTTTTCTTTCCTTTTTGTTATACCTCTGTAACTAAAATAAAAATGCTGAGCCTTATAGTAAAAACAACTTAAAATTAAAATCTACTGATTCTTAAAATTAAATAACTTTAAATTTATGTGTTGTTTTTTAAACTTTAAACTTATGTTACTGTTTTTTTTTCAATTAAAAGTACTAAAATATATTTTTACATGTAATTAAAGCATCAAAAAGTGTATAAAAGGGACACCTTTGCCCCATCTGCGCCAAGGATTTAATATTAATTATTTTATTAACGTTAACTATTTTACTGTTAATTGCTTAATTGTTATGTTATTTAATTTTGTTTTATACTTTTGTAAACACACACAAAATTAAAGTGACTACAATTTCATTATGAATAAGACCGATTTCAATTGAACTGTGTTGAACCAATAAATTGATGATACTTTATATTTCATAACAATCACCGTATAGAACATATGAAGGTCTTATTTGAATAGTGGGCCAACTTAACTTGTTAAAAAATATATTTAATTTCATATTCGTGTTTATAGAAATGTTATCTCAAGCCAGGTTCCTTAAACTTTTTGTTGTGGGGACCCCGTAATATTTATTTAATTTTTTATTTTGTAACAGTCCTTGAACATGGAACCCAATTTTGGGTTTACGATTATTAATGTTCTATTCCGTATCCTTGTAATTTTGAACCAATCCAGAAGACAAGAAAACTTCTTGATCAGTATTCCCAGAGGTCTGATTTGTTATGGGTACATGGATTACTTGACAGATTTAACGAGCATCAGTGACCATTTACTACATAGGGAGTAATTGGCCGGAGGGGATCGAACCCACAACGATTTGGACATGGGCCCAGCGCCTTACCAACCAGGCTACCCCGACCAACCTGTAATATTTACAAAAATTTTGTGGTACCCCATTAGCATTGAGCAACTGCTACAGAGAAACTTTCAGTTGCTTCATTTGTACTTTAATATATAATTGCAGAGTTAAGCCTTTAGCTTTATTTTTTTAATTTTAAGACATCGAATGATACTAAAATTTCAATTAAACAACAAACTTAAAAATATAATACAATATTAAAAATACGTTGAAACGTTTTAGTTTTTTCTTGGTCTGTTTTGTCTTATCTTGAATTTATTTTCAGACACATTATGTAAAAATACTTGGTAATTATAAAATTGTTATAAAAACGAATAAGTGAAAGAATAATCAAATTTGGTAAAATTTTGGTTACTCACAAACGTTATTGGAGTTGAGACACCAGTTTTAAAAATCCAGATCTTGAGAAAAGATACCTAATATGAGACACTCATTTGAAAATTAAATGTTAGAGCGTAGCTATTATTATGTTATCTGTTATTGTAATTCATGTTTATGTGATCGTTATAAATCATAAAGACCAGCTAATTTTGGAAAACTAAAATGCACTCCAGTATTAAGTGAAAATTTAACAAATAATATAAAATGTGCCCTATTACGGGAGAGTACCGAAGCAAATTAAAGACTTAACCTCTAATTTTTATTATCTTAGACCATAGTTATTTATAAATAATTTTATGAAAAAAGAATGCATAAGACATAACAAAGTATTTGCTCGCGCTTTACTAATAATAATATTCTTCAATGACGATCTTAAGAGAAATATATATCATTAAAAGAAATATTTACAAACATCAACCATGCTGGTACTTCAGGCAACACAAAGTCTCTCGATCATGTTGTACCATGCTGGTACGACAGTGGCTCTCGACCACTTTAGAGATATTGCATATTAGGCAGCAGTAAACATTTTTCAGCTGGTAAGATTATTTTTGCATCCCGCAAAGTCCACCACGAGAGGAAGTAATCACAAAATTTTTCAGCACTCTGATTAAATAGAATAAATGTTTCAGGTTACGAGATTTCTCCATTCTCCAAACTTTCCTCTTCTACATTACCAAATCTCGCTTTTTTCCACGGCAATACGTTTCCATAAAAAAATGGAATTACTTTCTTGGGGATAAAGCAAGATTTACCGAAACCAAGATAATGGGAAGGTGAAAGATACGGAGAGTGGGGAAAACTTACAATCTTGTGGTGCCTATTTAATATCTAGAGTTATTAAACTATTAAAATTTCACATTAGAGTGACAAAAAGAACCAAATTTAAGCATGTCCTGAGAAATACTTGGTATGCGTTTGAAGCCTAGTTAATTGCTCTAAACGAGCAAACTCCGGTTTTAGCGAGTAATACTTTTGTGAAGCATAAAATCTTAACTCAATTATACCACTCTCGATCAGCTAATCCTTTCCTCGAAAATTTCCTTTCTGATGTCCTATGGGTTGGCGAATTCCTTTTTGATGTTAATGACGTTTTCCGGGTTTCATCCGAAAGATAATAATACAACAAAGAGACAATGAAACAGTTTAAAAGCAAATTAACTTTTTCGTTCTCTAGAAAAATAAAAAATTAAGTGAGTATCACATTTCTAATTTAAAAAGTTTTTTTTTTTTAATGGCAGGCACTGAACTTTATTCGTTTTACCTTAGAAGATGCCAGGGATGTTACTCATTTCGCGCTACCCAGTGGGCACCTGTAAACCAAAGTCACGGAGGCGAGTAACATTGCCCACGCCACACTGCCACAAACCCGTTCATAGGATGGGTCACATTCACTCATCACACACAACAGAGGACAACACAAGAGAGAGAAATATCCATGACCAGAGCAAGATTTGAACCCGCGGCCATTGGCTTCGCAGTCAGGCGCGCTAACCACTCGGCCAACTGGCCGGCCTAATTTAAAAAGTAGTAATGGACTTTTAAAATTTTTTCAAACCCGTTTCTACTAACATCTTGTTGTAACGAGCAAATTTTGTTCTCTGAATAATGTCTATACAGAATACATTGCTTTTTATAAGGATTATCTGTTTTTATCAAAAGAAATATGCTTAGAATGTTTCAAAGTAATAATAAAAGAATGATAATTAGAAATAATATAATAAAATAAAATAATTAGGAAATTAAACAAAAACGTATCTTTAAAAAAATTAGATTGATTATATTTTGATTTTGAGACAATACAAGTGTCCGCCATTAAAGAAGAAAGAAGAAAATAATATTTTGATTTTATTAATACAGTTTCAATAAATTTATAATGAAATAAATAGTTATCATAAAGTGCTTTTTATTTATTTACTTTAAGTATTGTTGAATAAAAAAATTTTTTTTTTCAGATCGTGTCATTTTCCAGCGAAGATACGTGATAACATTTTTGATATTTCTTACTTCCGTTGTAATACAATCGCAACGCTTTAATATAAGTTTTGCTTTGGTATGCATGGTGAATGATACTAAAATACATTCAAATGGCATGAATGCAACTGAATGTCCCGAACTAAGGAATGAGACTGATGCCGATGAAAATGTAATTATATCACTTGCTTTTTTAAAATTTTTTGTTGCATTTATTTATTTTTTGATAATTTACACAGCCCTTCTTGAGAAAAAAAATTTCTGAAATCGCTTCGAATAATTTTGCCAAAATTAGTTAAGATGATCGTTAATTTGTATGGTTATTACATGAAGCGACCTTGCGCAATCCGAGGAGAATACTCTTTTTCATGGTGGTTACAGTGTCAGGCTACGGACACGAAGATCTTGGTTTCGAACCTAGTTGAAGCCAAAGAACATCTCCCTTGCACATTCCACGCTTCTAAACACTCAACTCTATTAACAGCTCACTTTGATTCGGCAAATAAATCACCCGAGTGTAAAATAACGATGAAGCCCGAAGTGATAATTTTCATTTGTATAACGCTAGTGTATGGTCAGTAACCGTATAAAAAATTATGGCAGACCTGTATTTTTATGGTCATGATAACTTTACGGGCATATATTTATTTTATGGTTATTGACTGTAACACTTTTTGCTGACAATTTACGCCAATTTATGATCATTGACTCATATGTTTTAGGAGAAAAAATTTATGGGCAGACCTGTATTTTTATAGTTATGGTAGCTTTACAGGTATATATTTCTCTTTATGGTTAATGACTGGGACACTTTTTGCAGCTGCTGGTTATCCAGCGGTGAAATGTTTTAGAGTATAATTGTATGATGTATACTGATATTTTTAACTGCAATTTTCCGTATCCTATTTGAATGATTATAGATAGTATTTTTCAATTCCCTCAACGTTTATTGTACCTCCTTACTTTTCCCTTTTTGTTTTATAAATGAAACGATTTGGCAATTGAATTTTCGTTACATTGAAATAGTGAATTTTTGATTTCAGGAAAATGCAGAATTTTCTTGGGATGCAGAACTGCAAGGGCTGATTTTAAGTTCTACATACTTAGGATTTTGTCTAACGCAATTCCCAGGTGGACTTTTATGTGAACGATTTGGTGTTAAAAAATTGTTTTTAGTCAGCATTATTATTGCATCTGTATGCAATTTATTTTCACCATTAGCAGCCAGAACAGATCCATATTTGCTTTTTGCTACTCATCTCATAAAAGGAATGGGTCAAGCAAGTATTTGCTAAACATATTTCAGCATTTATATTTGATTTTAGTTATTAGTACAACACAAGCAAAATCATAGTGAGTAATAACTGAAATATAATCCCTTAAGCTCTTATTTAAGAAGCCCTTTGCTTAAAAATTAGCAATATTTGCTTCAAGAAAATTTCTAATATACAGTAGACTCTCGGTAAACCGGGACGGTTGAAAATTTCTTTCTCCCGGATAGGGTAATATCACAAATAAATTAATTTACGCAAATTTTGATGACAAAAAATGAAAGAAAATGTAAAATTATGATGCAATAAAATATTATTAGTTAAAAATTACTTCAAAAGAAAAAGAATTAAGAAAACATTTTAACGTTATGCAGATTTGTACAGTTAAAGAGAAAACAGAGATGTAGTGCACCTCCCTATTTTATTACTTTTCGACGAATTTAACTACACTGTAAAAAAACTGTTAAATATACAGAAAAAAATTTAAATGGGAGTGTCAGTATAAGACCGTTTATTTCTCTAAAAATACTGCTATTTAGAAACTAGAGCTTGTTTTTATAAGCAGAAAAATAGTGTTATTGCAACAAACAAACTCTGCTTAAACAAAAAAAAGACTCTGTTATTTCAAATGAAAAAACAACTGGATCAGCATTGTGATCGGTGTAAGTCGGGAACAGAATTCGCTAGACTAGTCAAGGCCTGGATTCGAACCCGGTTCACCTCGTTGAGAAGCTAGCACTTTGTCCCCTGAGCCATGACCAGTGTATGATGTGCATGATGATGTGTATGATGATGAAAAAATCTTAAAATATCTATATCTTAAAATTCATACTTAAGTGTAATCATATTTAAGTGTAAAATTGTTTAAAACTATACTGGCCTACCCTTATAAAAATGTCTGACAAATTAACTTACCAAAAATTTATATCTTAAGAATGATAATAATCAGGTGGAGTATCAATTCGACATCCATGAAATAAAATTGCAATTTAATTTGCATGATGTTCAAAACTATAAAATAATTTCTGAAAAGTAAGAGCTAGTACAGAAATTAATGGTAAAATCTTTTGAAAAAAGGTAAAGTTATCTTACGGTAAGCAAATGCGCGTGGCAAAAACTGGAATTTGAATTGACAATTTTAATCCGTTTATGATTAGAGTGAAAAACAGAGAAAAACTGTTTAGTAAATAACAGCTTTAAACTGTCAAATTTATGGAAAAAGTTTGTATAAAACGGGGATTTCTTACAAAGCGAGGGTAACGATCAAAAGCAGAAAAATCCGTATTCATCTTAAAACAGTTTTTTTTTCTGTAAGAAATATATGTTTTTTTTTCTTTTATAATTTGCAGTTACTTTTTACAGTGTAAGCAGATTTTTCCTCATCGTTCCCTTACGGAAAAATTGATGTGTTTTTGAGATTTAAATGAAGTATTTTTCAAAGGTACAAATGAGGTTGTTATTTAAATACCTCGTTAAGTTGATACGGTACATATGTATCAATCTGAAATATTTAATCTTACATCTGTGGAGAGGTAGATATTTACTAAAGGTGTTTCGTTCTCATCCTTAGGTTATTACTTATCAACCTGAAGTATATTTTTTTTATATCTGTACAAGTAATTACAAAAACAACCAAATGTGCTTCCTTTAACACTTTAGGTTATTCAGGATCTTCCTCAAGTGTATTTTTTTACAATTAAAAAGGTAATTTTTAACTGTCAAGAAATAGATTGTGAAGGTAATTTTTTATTGACTGAGGTGTTGTACGTTCTACCTCAGGTTATTATATTCCACCTCAAGTATATATTTTTATGCCTGTAGAGGTATTTTTTATCAACTTAAGGTGCACCATTTTACTCATCAAGTTATTATAGATAAAGCTCAATTTTTTTTTGACCGTTGGATAGGTTGTTTTTTATGAACGTGAGGTGCTCGATGTTCTACTTTAGGTTATTATTTTTCAACCTCAAGTGTGGATTTATATAGTTGTTGAGGTATTAATTTATCTACCTAAGGTGTGCTATTTTACACTTCAGGCTTTAATAGCTCGACCTAAAGTTTAAAGCTCAACCTTTTATAGCTCAACCAATACTTACGAAGGTAATAATTCACTTACGTGAGGTGTTATACGATCCACCTAGTTTATTGAATTTTAACCTCACTATTATTTATATTATATAAACAATAGTGCATAACTTTGCACCTTTTCACTAGTAGAGATCTTCATTTATCAACCTGAAGCTTTTAATATTACACCTTCGACAGTAATTGCTTCTTTTGTTAAGCTGTAAAAGAAAGTTTCAATTACATAATTCTTTTGCAATTTTAATAGATTCAATTAATCTTGAAATATCCGAATTTCATAGATAAAAAAAAATATTTGTGGGAACTCGCATTTTCATAGGATAGATGTCCAAAGTGTTGAATTTTTAAAGCTATAAAACGGCAAATAAAAAAATTAGTCAGCTACATTCATAATATTTTATTTAAGACTAAAATTTCATTTTTTTTGCAAATCAACAAATTTTATTTCAAATATTGATTCTGTCTGCCGGTTGAAATTTGGAAGTATTGGAACCTAAAAGAAAAAATATATAAAGTAGTAAGAAAGTCATATTTACAATAATAGAGACAGGTTTTAAAATATTAGAAAGTAATATTTTTCTTATGATTAATATTAACTGGAAGAAATTAATTTTACTTATCAGATAAATGGCATTCTATTTCTGTCATTTCTCATAGTAGCTAAAGGCGTTTAAAAAAGTGAGAGGTACCACAGCCACAAAATAAAATACGCTGAAGAAAGTACTGCCATTAACAATCTTTTCGGAAATTCAAATATATAATTCTTATCTTATTAGGAAATTTTAGCACTTTTAATTTTCCCTTAATTGATCCTTTTATTCTGATACTTCTAAGTTTCATAATTAGATTTTCTTTCTCTTTGCTTACGAATCTTTAAATGAACTCGATAAGAATAGTCAATATTTTTAAACTTTTTGTCAGATTTAAATAAAACTAATAGTTTTTCAATCAATGTAAACACACGCAATTCGCCGGCTCGCATGGTACTCTGGGAAGTGAGCTGATTTGCATGAAGTGTGCATGAAACAACCTCAAAATAAGCTTACCCATAAATAAAATGGCTTCATACACCTCAATAAATACCTCCTTATCATATATATATGTATATATATATATATATATATATAGGGCAATTCCACGAAAGTGTCAACTTTTAAGTGAAATTTTT